CTTGTCGACCGACCTGATGAACATCGCCACAACCCCTCGGGCTAAATGATGTCTTCGATTACAAAGACTCATCCATCGCCCAGACGTCGCACAAACAGGCCAACGTACCCATGACATTTGTCGCGGTAGTACTCAAACGTGGGACAGTTCACTTTAATTGGACGAAAATATTGCACGTGATTAGTGATGTCGTTAACATTGTAATTTTGTATAATTAACCAAATTGTTCATTTTCGCGAAGTATATTGGAATCGGGTGGTACATAAACAAACATGTATTCAATAACAAATTGTACAGTTGTTTCTACAAAACCCTCTTGGTATCTGAATCACACAACAAATTCGTCATACAAGTTGTTTTCTTTTAATAAAGATTTAGATTCAAGAAGATTTAGGATTTAATGAGATTTAAGGAGAATTAGACGAGCCGTTTCAAAACCTGTACATTTAAGTGATTCCAAAAAATAATAATAATAAAATTTGGGATGATGTCCTCTTGATTGAATCAATCAGATTGTCATTCTGTCAATCTTGCCCTTACACGATCAATAAGATTGTCAATCCTTCGTGAGACTGTCAATCTGATTGATCGTGTAGGGTGCCCATAAGAGACCCTGGATTAGCTAGGACTCAGCTTATAATGTAACTTCCTGCGAATTTTTGTGGGTGTAAAGCGCCTGGACCCAACTTCTTGACTGACAAGCTCTCAATTTCCAATAAATTTAATCCTGTCTTCATCTTCTTATTTTCATGCGTAAATTAAATTGATTGCCAGTGTTCTATTGGCTTGTCCTTAAATTACTATCTTAATAATAGTTATTCTACATTTTACCTTCTAGATGTTTATCCTTTCGGGCGAATTGCTCTTATAGTCTTGCATATTTGTTTGTTTAGTTTGTTTACTTTTCGCCTCTTGGTTCCTATTTTTAAATCATTCGTTGTTTTTCTACACGTTTGCTTTGTTCTTACAATTCCTGTACCATCGCCTTATTTGCTCTGTCAGTGCTGTAATTTGAGCTCTAATCAGGACAAGCATAAATGTTACTAGAGAATTCTCTGGGGTAACCTCGTTTTACACAAATCAATTTAAGACATCACCAAACCAGCCATTGATTATATAAAAGTAGTACTGGGAACACTATTTCTCTATGTCTTATAACTAGAATGTTTAGAATCCTTTTAGAACTTACTTATATCAATCGCAACTAACATCCGAATTCCCAAATAGAAGAAACTTGCTAAATCTTCTCTAGTTTCCGTGCTTTATTTCAGTTCTCTCTTGGGCCTCAATTCTTCTACATTTGGCCCGAACTCACTAATTTCTCTCTTCGCTCCCTCATCGAAATCGTAATTCATCCATTTCTTTCTCTTCTTCAAATATCCAAAAATCAATTACGATGTTTCTTAAACCTTTTCCGGGCTCGAGTTTTTCCATCCCACTAATTCGTCATATACTTTTCTGACACCATGTTACTTTCAACGAAGTTTTGCTTTGATCCAGCCTTCAATTTTTAAGTTTTTTAAAATCCGTAATGGCCTCTTTTATCCACGTTTTCTTCGGTCTTCCGTTTCTTTTAGTTGAAATACGTCTTTTTGGTAAACATTTTTTCCAACCGAGAGTTTGGCGTCTTTCAATATGACGCAGCCATTGCATTCTTTACCTGCGCAAATTCAGTGTATCAGACGAAGACAGCAACACAACTATACCAGAAGTCGTAATTGGTACAGTTTTACAACACCTTTCCAAAATTAAAATTCTACTATGGTTGGCTAAGATCTTATGATAGTAGTGGTTCCTTGTACAATTATTGCTCTAGTTATTACTTCTCCTTCTCAGTCTATCATCAGTCTTCTTTATCTTCATCATGTTCACAGCTTTTCCTAATCTGATTTTTTCAGTTACTAATGGACGGATAAATATTTATCTATTATTTGCATCCATTGGGTATATTCGACAATTTTAATTTACACAACGTCCTCGACCAACAATCGACGTAACAATATTAATGTAATTTTGACATTTACAATAGGACACTAATCAGTGTGTATCAAGAAAATAAGATAAGTATCAATTTCTTAAACCTAACACCTTCGGGTATTGTAGGTTTTTGATTTTATATATATATATATATATATATATATATCAATTTCTTAAAGAAAATGAATTACTAAATTTTAGTTATGTTCTCCATCACTAAATCAATCATCAATCAATCAAATGAATGTTAGTGTCGTACCAAAATTCCCAAGAATTCTATTATCTAATCGCAAAAATTGGTCGAAAACTATTTCGACCTCGCCCTTGAAGTATAATCCAACAAGTCCAGCTCTTTAAAAAAATTATAAAATTTGATTTTACGATTTCCGTTTTGAAATAGCCTCTGTAAAGTAAAAACCAGAGGCATAAATGACACCGATGCAGCCCCTGCGCCGTAAGGACAATGTAAAATATATTTAAAGCACTTAACTAACGGGATAAAATGTCCTTCAGCACTAGGTAATAGCAATCTGAAGCTCAACTGTTTATTTATGTTTATACATCGAAAGAATGTCACGTAGAAATTAGTTTGATTTGAATGAGATTGTCTTCTCAAAACAGAGGACTAAAATTATTTAAAACACAGTGGAACAAATTCAACAAATTCTGAGTATTATAATTCTTATTTTATCATTATTATATAAAGACGTCCCACATTTACGAGAAAATCAGCACTTTTTTCGTACTGTAGGGGTCATGAAACGTCGAGAAAATATAATATAATACAGTGGCGGCTCGTCAGGGGAGGCAGGGGAGGCAGTGCCTCCCCTGGAAAAATTGACTATTAGTTTTTGTTTTAATATCTGTTAACTTCAAATATATTTTAAAGATACAGCAAATAACTTTTATGGAACACTGTGATTTATTAAAACGCGTCTTGGTAACATATTTTGAAGTACGCGCTTTCGACAGGAATAAGCGCTGATCATCGCCGTGTAGGCCAGCTTCAGACGGAGGCATGCCTCAGATAGACGGATATCTTCAGTATGATTAGTCAGTGGTGCTAATATGTTTTTGAGTAAGACAATAGTCATCAGTGCTTTATCAAAGCGCCAGCGGAGGCACCAACGCCTACCGTCCTTTAGCCAATCAGATCGAATTTTTTAATCTCACGGTGAAACTGCACAATGCTGAACAGGGATGCTGAATGCATTTAGTTGTGCATTAATTAGACGCGAGGAAAGGTGTTCACTGCATGTGCATTGCCAAGGTTATTTATTAAAACTTTTAAGTTAATTTGAACACAGTAGGACAATGACAATGTCAGTTTTGCAATGCTGATAGCAACATAAGAATCTATAATCTCCAGAATTTCTTATAAAGTTTAAATATTTAAGCACGGTTTTCTTACGCCGAACAATTGTATGTCAAAGATTTAGAACCTCTCATCCAGATTTGAGCAGAACTTTATTAATTAATTGATTAATATATTTAAATTAGCCCTAGATCATATGAATTAATATCTAACGCTAATAAAGCAAATTCTGCAGTCTTTAAAGCTTCTCGTTGGTTTGTGTGAAGCAATTAAATGTTTTTTATTCGAGAAGTGTACCCATATAGAGATATGTTACTGACTCAGGGCTATTTGTATTGTTTTTGTCTTTTAACAAAAGTAATTGCCAACATGTTAATTAATACCTGCTGATTTTGAAACGAAATTGTTGCTTCACCTAACGAAAAGACCACGAGCCGCTACTGATATAATATAATATAATTTTCTGATTTTCGATTTTTTGGTTCTTCGATTTTTTAAGTTTTTCCATTAATTTGTTGATTTCTCAATAATTGTAGATTTTTTAATACTCAATATTTTGGTTTTTCGATTGTTGATTTTTGAATTTTTCGCATTATTTCTTCAATTTTTTCGAATTTTGAATTTTTGGCTTCACGGTTTCTCGTTTTCGCAATTTTTTCTTTCTTGGTTTTTAGGTTGATCGATGTCTTGATTTTACGATTTTTCGATTTTTTAAGTTTTTTCATTTTATTTTTAAGATTAGCCGTAAGTTTTCTTATTTTAGCCGTGTAGCTGGTGGCAGGGAATAAACCCTATTTATTGCGTAAAATATTCCTTGCCGTTTTATTTTATTCTCGTGTTTTCGCGGGCGCTCACCACCTGAGATCCGTGTCTCTGGATTGAGAGCGACCCCGGCATCGATTTTTCGTATTTTTGACTTTTTGGTTCTTCGAATTTTCGATGTTTCAATTTCCAATTTTTTGAATTTTCCATTTTTGATTTCTGGAATGTCGATTTTTCCGATTTTTTTCTTTTTTGATTTTTAGATTGATCGATGTTTGAATTTTCCGATTTTTCGTTTTTCCGATTTTTTAAGTTTTTTCATTTATTTTTTGATTTTTCCATTTCTCGGTGATCGATTTTTCGTATTTGTGACTTTTAGGTTATTCGAATTTTACCCATTTTTCAAATTTTCTTTAGTTTTTGATTTTTCGACTTCTCGATTGTTGAACATATTTCACATGGTGATTTCTCGTAGAATAATGTTTAAGGATTTTACAATTAAGCTCCACCCCTCGACTTACGATGAATAAAAGAACTGCGATAGGGCGGGTCGGCGGGGCTTATATTTGGCTTTTTTTTCTTAATATTCATAGCCACCTTTTCACAACAAGAAACTTAGAACTTTATATGGATATATAAATATGGATCGATATTTCCTTATACAAATTTTCCATTTTAAACATGTTTTAAGTATCATATTAAAACAAAAAGGCAAAATATATATTAAATTATTCGTCCGATGGATCCGATTACTACAATAAAAATAAACTATAAAATTTCACTGAGCAAACTCATCTTCATGTTAAAACTACAAGTGGATGGTCAACCATAGGTAATGGAATATGCTGTGCTGCACATTTAAGCTGCAGTATAGGTATTTAGCAATATTCTCAGATGACGTTATAATTTTTTTAGGGGCACTTGAGTAAACGAATTCTCCACACAAACAAATGGAAACAGAAAACTTGTATTCTCTTATTTTACGAACTACTTCAAGAGAACATGACATATAAGACGTTCGTCAAAAAGATCTTGTCTCATTGTCTCCCCCAGAGATCTCCGAGAAGTAAACTCCAACTAAATTCCTTGCAACTTAAAAAAAAACATTAAAGTAGTACGTAGTCTAATGAATGGATTGTGAAAAGCGACAAGGAGCAAACACGGATGTCAGGACACCAAATGTTTTGTTCATGTGTACTTTACTATCTACTAGCAAATTTCCAATCGAATACATCATGAGAAGCTAATACAAGTATGTGGTCTAAGGTTATTTAGACAGAATCCAATTTTTTCAGGGTGCCTCTTACAACATATGATCCAAAAGTTTTCACATCAACACAGGCTGTGATCACGGTACGCTTAGGTAAATTAATCACAGCTTCCCTTTATCTGACAACTTTTAGATCATAGATACGGTATTATACTATCCTCAAAGATATTTGGCGTTTATGGCTTTGACGTTTAAAGTACTTTATCTACGACTCTTTAATAATAGACGCATTATGTACGTAACTATAGATACATAATACCCCATATTAATCACTAGTGTTTAATGAATATTAAACACTAGTGAATAATGGATTTATTTCAAAATGTCCTAAAATACTGTTCCTTTTTTTCTAGAAAAATATAAACGTCAAAACTATGTATGTATTCGTTTTTTACGTGTTATATATTTAACAGTTATTATTCTGTGTAGGATTTAAAATTTAAATTTACAATCTAAACGGAATTCGTATTTCGCGATTGTAGATTGTAGATGGCTCTGACGTTGTTTACGTTGCCACCTGCTACTACGGACGCTTAGCCGCCATTGTGCGTATTGTTTTGAATTTTGATTTCTTGCGAAAATTTATTACCGACGAGTGTTTTTATAAGAGGTTATCATCAGTTATAATGGATGAAAACACTGAAAATCTTCCTGGCACACCTCCCGAAGTGGCAGAAGCAGCTGGTGCTGTTAACCTGTTACCAGAGGAATCTCAAAAATTGTATAAAATAGCGTACAATCAATTCATGAAGTGGAAACAAGAAAAGAAGATTACCTCATTTTCCGAACGGGTGATATTAGCATACTTTGCAGACTTATCAAGTAAATACAAAATTTCTACGCTGTGGACTTATTACTCCATGCTACGAAGTACTCTCAACATCAATCATAACATTAATATAGAACAGTACCATAAATTAAGAGCATTCTTAAAGCGTCAAGGAGAAAATTACCAGCCAAAGAAAGCGAAAACGCTTAGTCCTCAACAAATAACTAAATTCATCACTGAAGCCCCTGATGTAAAATATCTAGCAACGAAGGTAAGAAATTATTGTTTCAAAATTATGTTGTAGGTTCTCATTTATTATTTTTTTAAAGGTGGCTTTGATAATGGGCATAATGGGTGCATGTAGGACTCAAGAACTGCATTCAATGCGAATTCAAGACATCAAAGATTTGAATTCAGCTTTTTTGGTAACACTGTCCAACACTAAAACAAAGATTAGAAGATCTTTCACAGTAACTGAAGATTACTATTTAATATGCAAAAAGTATCTTGATTTACGTCCAGCTGAAGTGCAATCAGATGTGTTTTTCCTTAATTACCAGAATGGTAAATGTACTATGCAGAGACTAGGTATCAATAAATTTGGTGGTATGCCGAAAGAAGTTGCAGCATATTTGGGGCTCCCAAATCCAGAATTATTTACTGGACACTCTTTTCGTAGATCCTCGGCTACTTTATTGGTGGATGGTGGAGGGGACATAACCGATTTAAAACGCCACGGAGGATGGAAAAGCTCCTCCGTGGCAGAGGGCTACATAGATAACAGTGTGAGATACAAACTAGAAACATCAAAGAAAATTTTTAAACAGGTGAATCCCTCGTCAACACCATGTACATCAATTCGAGCTCCTGTAATGGCAGAAAACTGTGAAAACATAGAGGAGTATGCTGCTGTAAACTGCGATAATGTTGTGATGAATCCATCTCCCCCATGTACATCAAGTGAAACTAATTGTGGTTTAAGAGAAACTAGTAATTTTGTTAAAAATTCCCATTCCCTCAGTAGTAATGTCAGTGTTGACATGAAAGGCAAGCCAATACAGATTTCAAACTGCAGTGGCCATTTTACATTTAATTTTCTTGCTAAGACAAGTAATAATAATAATTAATTACTTATTTGTTTTGTTTATTGTTTCTGAAATAAATTATTATTTGTGAAACGTGTATAATTTGTTTAGAGTCGTAGATAAAACGTCGTATTTAACTAGCGCATAATGGCTATTATTCACACGGATGATTTACACACTCGCCTGCGGCTCGTGTGTAATTTTCATCCTCGTGAATAATATGCTACATTATGCGCTTGTCAAATAATATACTATTACAGCCGACCCTTCATAAAACTTAGTAAATGTAAACCATGCCACGTGCCAGGGACGGTCGAGACGCGAAGGACCGGACTCAGAGTAATTTTGTTTGTTAAAATTTTTAAAAATTATTGTCTTACATTAAATAGTGACAAATAAATAAAACAAAATAATAACAGGCCATTTAATTAGTATTTTTGTAACAATTTATTTTTAAATACTTTTCGAAATATTGTAGCAAAAAATTTTGCCGGTGATCCCAAAAACATATATTTGTAAGTAGAAATGCGGTTTGTAGCAGAAGCTACAAAACACAGTGCCTTCTTGAAGAATAAATTCAGGAAAAGATTTAATCTATAAATTAATTTGAGTTATCTTCGACATATTGACACACGTGTACTGTTTTAAATGCTTTCAAAGCAAACTCAAGTTGAAAAGTAACAGGATAACGTCTCAAACATACTTTTAATACACTTAAATAACGGAATTTCCGAAAATAATAAGGGACCGGATTTAAGTCGTTAACCACTTCCAAGAAATACTTCTCAAACAATATAATCCTTAATGCTTGTACCTACCTGGCTTCGGAGCGAATTTGACACAATTATTAGAAGTGTTACACACTCGAAAATTTGAGAAACAATATAAAATAGATGCTATGGCGCGAGATCGTGGATTTAGGGTGATTAGACTTCCGCCGTACCATTGTATATTTAACCCCATCGAACTAATCTGGTCGCAAATGAAAAATAATATAAGAAGGAATAATACGGCACCAAAATTTAGTAGTGCAACAATTGACATAATTAGGGAAGAAGCTTCCAAAATAACTGCCGAAATGTGGGCCAATTGTGTACGACATTCCACAAAAGAAGAAGACCAGTACAGGGCACGGTTGATAACACCGTTAATTATTAATTTAGAAGAGTCGAGTGATGATGACAGTGACTATTTCGATGAATAAATAAGCAGTAGTAGTTAATAAGTAAATAGTTGTGCTGTAATAAAAAATTATTGAGTACAAAGTTACTTTGTTTTTACTTAAAATAAAAAACTCGAAAGGCGCAGTTGTCGGTAAATGCAAAACTCAGTCCTGCCCTGTGCTTTTACCAGAAAAGGTCTTTTCAGGTAGGTATCAGTGAGCGGGTTTAAGACATCCGGTTGTGACGGCCTATTGAATTATAATGGGAGTCAAATTGGTGTGAAGTCATAAACGCCAAATACGTTTGAGGATAGTATACTATGAAATATGATTAAACAAATTTGATTTTTCTAATCAAATTTGGTTAACTAAGGTGGACGGTAAATGAACGATCGAATAAGAAACCAGAAGCGGTAGCATCGAAGTAGGAAATGTGCCGCCTCCCAGTTTTAAACTTTACTAAATGCCCAATTTGATTGGCGGTGCATAAAAACCGTAAGCAATGCATTTTATATGGGAGAATTCGCGGCGGTGTTGTCACTTATCCAAATTTCTGTAGAAGATAAAATTTTGAATAGTTTTTTGAAATATGACGCGATAAAAACAAAAAAACGCGATTTTTTGAAATCATGAAAATTCAAGAAATAATTCGATTTACTATAATATTTTAATATGAAAATCAAGTTTTCGACACGAATAGAAGCGGAATAACAAAAACTTTATGATAATAATTTGTGTAAGATTCATCTATCAACTTTTTCAGAAATCGGTAGGTTTCTGGATAATTGACGACACCGCTGCGAATTCTCCATTTACGAGTTTTGCAAGTCAAACCGGAATGCACAATAGACCGTACTTCAACTACGTTAGTTGAATTCCATTTTATAATGCCAACGTGGTTGGCGAAACGCGTCGACAATTTTTGTATTGTCGATGTTGTGCAGTAATAAACGTTATGAAATTATTTTGGTTTACCAGAAGGTATACAGCTATAAATAAGTCAAAAATTTCACCAAGTTTTCTACATAAATGCAACACTTTATTACTCTTTGCACATTTTTCATCGTTTATCGCCCAGACTAAATCACGTCTCACAAACAAGCCAACGTACCCGTGACATTTGCCACAGTAATAATCAAACGTGAGACAACTCAGTTTCCTTGCCGCAAATGCTGCACGCGAGCGACAAATATTGCTAATAAGCTCGTACTTACCACAGTGGGCAAGCGATTTAAAAGAATGGATAAATGTGGAACCAATCCGTTGGTGTGTAATGCATGATTCATGCATGTCCGACAACTTAATTGCGGCAACGGTTTATCTGCATGTAGGATAAAGAGTTAATCTGTTGATTTCGTTTGCATATTAATTATCTGGATGGATTCACACGACGATCGATAGGAAAAAAAATCACTTTTGGCGGTACGGATGCTCAGGAGTGGTAACAGATTGATGCTGCGATAAGATGCTATCACAAAGAACCATTTGAGTATAATTATAGTCGTTGAGTAGATCTAATATGCTGTACAAATAGTCGGCAGAGGAATTTGCGGTATCTAGAATGCGATCGAGGAGGTTTTAGAGGAAACCATGAAAATTTAGATTCTTGTAGTGGAGAGGCAAAAATTTTAAATTCAAAATAGAACAAAGTATAAGGTGCTTAATTAAACTAGACCAGCTTAAAAAATCTTATCTACTAGATTAGTTTAACCGTTACAGAATATGCTACAGCGCATTTCTTGCGTAAATTCAATTAAATTTTTGTATCAGGTACATCAACGTGTGGAAGTAATTGATTTAACAGGCTGTAGGTCAAAAACATAACACCGTAAACTTATAAAAAAAAAAACATGCTCATACTGTATCTAAACCAAGAAGTCCATGTAACGAAAAATCACTCCATGATGCTATTCTGGTTAATTACGCATGTGGAGCAAGTACTTCTGTTGTGTTGATGCATGAATCAGCATTGTTAATTTTTCAGACCTAAAAATACCCACATCACAATACATTAATTTTTCTACTTTTTTGTTACACCATTCAGAGTCGGACATCAAAACAGTCACGTTCTAATTTACATGTATAATGTGAAGGAGCACCTTATAAAAGCTATTTTTTACATTAATAACGTACTGGCTGTTGAATTATGGTGGTCACATATAAAATTTCCCATAAATTATACTTATAAACAAAATAATTTCAGAAAAATATAAAAAGTTCTTTTAATGTCTCATCGTTTTTAGGAAAAAAACCTAATTGTTTGTGGAACGTTGTCACGAAAAACCACAGATAATTGCAGCGTTGATGGATCTTTTATTTTGTAAGTATCATTTTTAAGAAAAAAGGTTCACTTGTGCTCTCAAAAGCTGGCCAAAAATAACTACAACTAAAATGGTAAGTATCACTTCTAGCACAACATACGTTAATTATATCAAGTATCGAAAACGTGTGAAACAGACATGCAAAGCGATGTTTCACAGAAACGCATTTAAACTTTGTTACTTCCTTAGTGTAAGCTAGGGAAGTTTTGTAATAGAGTCCATCCGGCGAATGGCTAATTTAATGCATTTTTCGAAGTTTCATAGCTCGTAGATTATGAAAAAGTTGATCTCCCGTTTCCGTCTGTCTGTCATATGTTGGCGACCTTATTAGCCGAGAATCTCCCAACTAATGGGCAGATGGTGTGATTTGGTTAAGGCCAGCCGCTACGTTTGTCGTATCGGATTTCCAATACATTTTCAGAATGTAATATTTCCATCACGACTTATTGTCGTGACATTTTAAATATGTATAACCTGTCCGCAACTTTCAAGGGAAGTTTTGTTAAAAACAGTTTATCATCATAATCATTTAAAATTGCTGCATCAAGTATTTTTAAAAATTAATATCTCAACTATGTATTTATTTATGGAAATTTCGGAACGCGGTTTTCAACACTGTTTTCAAGGACAAAACTTTAGAAATGGTACCAGACACACTGTCGACTTTTTTTTGTTGGAAATGAGATGTAGCAAAAGGCAGCTTGTGTCTTGGAAGCGGCTGGAAGCTTCGAAAGTTGATCCTACTTAGATGTGCAAAATAATGCAAATAATACAACAAAAATAATTTAAAATAACTTCTGTTGACTCAGTGTTATTTTTAATTATTTAATACCATTGTTATTTATGTATAAGAACGCCAGTTTTTACATTTATAATTCATAATTACAGAATTAATTTTTTATTTCATTCAATACTTCCAAATTTTATTTAAAAATACAACTGTTGCATAAGCTGGCGAATTTTACTTTTTAATTTTGTATTTTTTTTTCAGTATGTTGATTTAAAAATAAAAGGCGAATTTGATAAAATTAGAGTGAGCACGGTTCTATGAAATCAAGTAATGTAGTATTTTTTTCCAGAATTTGAAATAAAAGTCACCCTTACTCTTCACAGTCCTAGGTGAAAATTACATTGTCGTACATAAGACTCACATTTGTTCAGTTATTAAATTAAAAAAAATTGCCCAAAGAGTTTAGACAGTACTTCCCTGTCTCTCAGAACCGTGATTCCATGCCTATAATTGTGTCTTCATCAGATTTCTGCGATGGGATATTTTAATAAAGTAGCTTACGCTCGAGAGTAGAGTAAAAATATGATTGTTTGCATTTTTTTAAGAGATTTTTGTAAAAGCACAGGGACCTAAGTATATTATTTTACAAAATTGAAATGACGTGTACTAACCAAAACTTTTAGAGTGACGTCATTAAAGTGTGGGTGGGGATGATAAGATACATTTTGGTTAGCATTTTACATTTGACAAGAATTGGTCTAGTAGTTTCGAAAACAGACAAACAGACAGACAGACAGACAGACAGACAGACAGACAGACGGACGGAAACGGGA